GCACTGAAGCTCAGTGCAAGCTGAAAGAACAGTACCTCATTTTTTGCTTGGGAACTCTGTAGTCTTCAATACCAAGTTCAATAATTTTCAGGCCTGAAGACCACCTCCCATCTCCTTACCTCAAATGCATGCAACCAGGGCTTGTCATTACATGGACTGCTTCCTGAATCATCCCATTGTCAGCTGCTAATGGTCCCCTTTAGCAGATATTGATTCCCCCAGCTTGACCTTTAACCATTCCTTTGTCTGTCCAACTGTTGTTCTGTCTCTGGGCTTCATCTTGACCTATCGTTTACTCCTTCCCCCTCCCCCCACCCATCTTCAGCGTTTATACCAATCTTTTCCTAGCTACAATCTGTTCTGAAGAAGGGTCATTGGACCCGAGACATTAACTTTGCTTTCTGTATACAGATACTGCCTGAAATGCTGAGTTTTCCCAGCAAGTTCTTTTATCATCACTATCACCTGCCTTAATTCCAAAGAATTCCAAAGAATTCCAAAGAACTCAAAATGTTAATGCAGACAGTCTGTCCAGAGATGCCAGACCTGCTGAGTTTCTCCAGCATTTTGTTTTTATTTCATCATTCCTGTTCAGCTTTAGTTTGGAATCTGCTTCTGTTAACTAAGTAGTTCTGAATTCATTTTTAAAGGTAAGTGCTTTGGCTGGTTTTGCTGTTAAGAGATGCAGAATCTTTGCATTGCATATGGCAGCCTTGTATCTGTTTTTTATTCAGCTGAGCAAGTTTACAACTGCCTCAGTCAACTGATCAGTCACAAAGCAGGGATCCGAGACTAATCTGATCTGTGTTTAGATTAATTGGTAAGTTTTGTACATCTACGCTGCTTGTAGAAGCAGCAGTAGTTTACACCTGAAGGTCATCCATAAGACTAAAATGAAAATCCACAATTATAGTCAGCATGGATTTGTGAGGGGTAGATCATGCCTCACAAACCTTATTGAATTCTTTGAAGAGGTGACCAAACACATGGATGAAGGTAGAGTAGTGGATGTGGTATACATGGATTTAAGTAAGGCGTTTGATAACGTTCCCCATGGTAGGCTCATGCAGAAAGTAAGGAGGCATGGGGTAGGGGGAAATGTGGCAGATTGGATTCAGAATTGGCTGACCCTTAAAAGACAAAGGGACGGAAGATATTCAACATGGTGCTCAGTTACGAGTGGTGTGCCACAAGTATCTGTTCTGGGTCCTCTTCTATTTGTGATTTTTTGTAAATGATTTGGATGTAGGAATGGAAGGGTGGATTAGTAAGTTCGCGGGTGATACGAAGGTGGGTCGAGTTGTGGATAGTGCGGAGGGCTGTTATCGGTTACAAAGGGACATTGATAGGAGGTAGAGCTGGGCTGAGAAGTGGCAGATGATGTTTAACCCTGAAAAGTGTGAGGTGATTTATTTTGGAAGGACAAATTTGAAAGCAGAATATAGGGTTAACGAAAAGATTCTTGGCAGTGTGGAGGAGCAGAGGGATCTTGGGGTTCATGGCCACAGTTCCCTGAAAGCTATCCACCCAGGTGGATAGAGTTAAGAAGGCATATGGTGTGTTAGCTTTCATTAATAGAGGGATTGAGTTCAAGAGCTGTGAAGTTATGCTGCAGCTATACAAAAACCCTGGTTCGGCCACATCTGGAGTATTGTGTCCAGTTCTGGTCGCCTCAATACAGGAAAGATGTGGAAGCATTGGAAAAGGTGTAGAGGAGATTTACCAGGATGTTGCCTGGAAGAGGGAAGGTCTTACAAGGAAAGGTTGAGAGCTAGGGCTCTTCTCTTTTTAGAACGACGAAGATGAGAGGTGACTTGATAGAGGTGTACAAAATGATCAGAGGTATAGATAGAGTGGACAACCAGAGACTTTTCCTAGGGTAGAGGTAGCTATTACGAGGGGGCATAGTTTTAAAGTGAGTGGAGATAGACATGGGGAGACGTCAGGGGTAGGTTCTTCGCTCAGAGTGGTAGGGGCGTGGAATGCATTTCCGGAGAGGGTAGTGAAGTCGGCCTCATTAGGGGCATTTAAGCGGCTATTAGATAGGCATATGGATGATAGTATAAGGTAGGGGTGGAGGTTAGATATACCTTAGGTTTAGGGTAAAAGCTCGGCACAACATCATAGGCTGAAGGGCCTGTACTGTTCTATGTTCTATGTTGTAATACTGTATTGTTCATCATGAGGTGTTGGAGTGCCACGGTGTTTTGTGCCCTTCAAAGAACAGCCTGGAAAGGATATTGTGATTGACTCACGTTAAGTAGTATTTTATAACAATGAATTTGTATAGTTTTAAAGTAACAGATTCAAGACATTGAATATGTATAGTAAAATCAGATAGACCTCTTTATGAAATGTCTCCATTTATAGTCTGTTTTACATTTATGTTGAGGTGCACTTTTTCATTTAGGACTAGTAAATGTCCCATTTTATTTAAAATACTTTAATTAAGCTCCTGCACCACAGGAACAAGGCTGTGCTGATTTCATAAACTATCTACTACTGTGTCATTGAGGAAAAAGTCAGTATCGTAGCATACCCTTGGTTGGGACACAAAAAAAACAGACTTGGGAAGCAGAATTTAACCATGGGACTGTGAGGTAGGCCCTTGGCCCAAAGTATGGGGTGTAAATGAAGGACAATATTTGTAATTGGAAAACTTGGGAAAGAAAGTTAAGGACAAAAAAGCAACAGATCTCAAAACTATCTGAAATTGAGCTGAGAAAATGGGAGCTTCCTGCTGACTGTTAATTGTACATTCTCTTTTTTTCTAATAAAAAAGCCATCAAACCAAAATAACAGCAGAAGAACATTACACAAAGTTGTTGGAGAAACTCAGCAGGCCTGGCTGCATCTGTGGAGCAACAGAGTTAATGTTTCGAGTCCAATGGCTCTTCTTCAGAATGATGTCTCAGTTCCGAAGAAAAGTGATTGGACTTAAAACTTAAAACTTAAATCTGTTTTGCTGTCCACAGATCTTGCCAGACCTGCTGAGTTTTTCTCCAACATTATTTCTATTTCAGATCTCTAGCATCCACAGTATTTTGTTTTTAGAAGAAAATTATAATTGGCTTGGATTTCCACCTCAAACTACTAACACCCTTACAAGCGCGCTCAGTTTTGTAAACCTTACAAACTGGTTTATAGATGAAAAATGACCATTTCTGAGAAGTATGTGGATCTTCAGCCCAAAATTCATGCCTTTACCAAGGGCTCAGAAGGAGCAACTGCTGACCCACTATGGAGGGAGAAAACTGCAAATGTCTACAACTGAACTATTTAATCGGTTGAATTGATGCATTTGAAATAGCAACTACTATTCCCTATGCTTGTTATCCAACTAAGGTTGATGTGAATGTCTTTGTGTTGCAAGATATAAATGATAAGTCAGCTGATGTTCTGATTTTTACCATCAGAAACCAGTCAAGTTTGAAGTATCTTTATAGCTTGATTAGTTGGGTAGCCCATATATATTGTCAGAGCTGTCATTTTGATTCACACTTACTTGCAGCCAATTTCTTTCTTGTCCCACCCTTTGCCAGTGACTCTGGAGTTCCTCGACTCCTTAGTGAAATATGCTGAGTTATGATTTAAAAATTTTGCACTGCTCAGGTTTATAAAAGTTAACGGAACCGTGGAAATAAACCCATTCACTAATTAAGTGGAAGATTGCACACAGCAGTGTACCCTCTCCACTTCCCCCAAATGCAGTGAAAATTTTAATTTATCAGTACATCACTTGACGTTACGCAGCTTGAAGCCAGGCTGGACAGATTATAATTGGGTCATGTTGGTGACTGTCTTGAGTGTAATGCAGACAATGAATTTCCATGCACCCGCTGTCACACTATCCAAGCAATGGTGCTGATTTTACTGTATTAATGTGAAGTATTATGTTTCATGTAGATGAAGTCTCCTTTTGTAGTCATCTAGGATTCTAGTTTAGTTTAAGCTGGTGAAGAATATTCCCACAGTTTTTTAAATTCTCTAGGACAATCCAAAAACCAGATTTAAATTGGGGGAAAATTTTTATAAATTCTGAAGAAATATGAACAAACCAGCTGCTGTGAAAACATTAGATTGAAATCTCCTCCAAGCTTGGTAGCAATGATCTTTTAGATACTTAGAGTCATGGAGTCATACAGCACTAAAATATACCCTTTGTTCCAACTTGTCCATGCAGACCATATTTCCCAAGCTAAACTAGTCCCACTTGCCTGTGTTTGGCCCATATCCCTTTAAACCTTTCCTATTCATGTACCTGCCCAAACCCTAGGGAAAAGACCTTTGTTATTCACTTTGTCTAAGGCCCTCATGAGTTTATAAATCTCAATAACGTCACCCCTCAACTTGCTATACTCCAGCTTAGTAGTACTGGTCTTTTTAGGTACTTAAATGTGAATAAGTAGTGTAGAAATCAGGCATGCAAGCTAATATTTCACCAAGATCTATTTGGTATTGATACAGACAGTGCATTTTTTGGGAATTATTTTTTGCTGGGAAATTAGCATTATCAATTTTTTAAAAGTTTGTTTACATGATGTTGACAGTGCTGGCTGGGTCAGTATTAATTGCCTATTCCTAATTGCCCTTTGAAGTGGTTGTGAGCTGCCACCTTGAAACAATGCAGTCCTTGTAGGTAGATCACAATGCTGAAAGGGAGGCAATTCCAGGGTTTTAATATGCAGTGTATTATTAAAATGTGACCATATATTTGCTCATTACTGACCAGATGTTATTCAGAGTTTATTCATGAGCTGTGAGCATTGTGTCTGGACCAGCATTTATTGCCCATCCCTAATTCCGTGAGAAGTTGGTGGTGAGGTCCCTCCTGGAACCAGTGTAGTTCTTGGTTTGTAGGTACATCCGCAGTGATGTCAGGAAGGGAGTTTGAGAATTTTGACCCAGCAACAATGAAAGCATGGTGAGTTTGTTCCACATTCAGGATGGAATGCGCTCGTTGTGGTGTTCCTGTGCATCTGCTCCTATTATTCTTTTAGCTGGTGGAGGTTGCAGGTTTGGAAGATGCTGCTGAAGGAGCCTTGGTGGGTTGCTGTCATGCATCTTGAAGATGGCACATGTTGCTTCAGTGCGTCAGCAGTGATAAGAGTGAATGTTGAAGTTATTAGACAGGCATCCGTCAACAAGCTGCTTTGTTATTTTATCGTATAGCGTTTCTTGAGTGTCATGCTTTATTTACAGCATAGAAACTGGTTATTTGGCTCAACTGGTCCATCGCAGTGTTTATACTTCAAATGAACTTCCTCCCACCCTCCTTCATCTAACTACGTCAACATGGATTTCTATTCTTTTCTCCATAGTGTGCTTCTCCTTAAATATAGCTGTTATTTACCGTTGTAGTACTGTGTTCCACATCCTCCACTCTCTGCATAAAGAAGTTTTTTTGAATTCTCAATTGAATTTATTGTTAACTACCCAATATTTATGGCCTCTGGTTCTAGTCTTATCCACAAGTGGAAACTTCTGCTCTATGTCTACTCTTATCAAATCTTTTCATAATCTTAAAGACCTTGATTGGATCACCCCTCTGTCTTCCCTTTTTTTCGAGAAAAAGAGCCACAGCCTTTTCAAACTTTCTTAATAAATTATATACCGTCAGTTCAATTAACATGTAGATTTTTGCACCTTCTTCAATGCCACCACATTATTTTTTGAAATATGAAGGCCAGAACTGTGCACAGTATTCCAAGTATGGCCTAACTGAACTTCTACACAACTTTTCAATTGTCTATGTGTTCCTTCCTAAATCATAAGACTGCTTAGTCCACCTTGACACAGAAGGGCATGGGCAAGAGTAACTGTACACCCCCTGTTCCAAATAATACGAGTAATGTACCAAGAATGTATTTGCATATGCTTCTCTGCCTGAAACATTGTAAGGAATGTATTCTGGCACACATTTGCACAGTGACAAATGCTGTCAACCACTGAAGTTGTAACATTGTTCAGAACTACTGTAATAGGCCCATTCAAACTTTTTAATAACATGGTTTCAACTTGCCCAAGTGAGTCAATTTTAATTTTAACCCAATTCTTATCCAGTATGCCATACTACATTTTTTTGAACGTTGATATTGCAGGAGTGCCAGAGGCCAAATGCAGTTAGTACAAGTGATGGAGATATTCCTTCCAATTTTACTGCATAACGTTAACTGATTAATTTGCTGTGTCAGGGAGCAATACTACTATTACAAGATTACTACTTGTTCTGTTGCAATGCACATAAATTAAAAAACAGACATAATCCAATCCTGAATTTGTGAATTAACATTTGTATAAAACATTGCAGAGCAAACAAAACACCTCAGTTGGCACAGCCCATGTTCTATTTTTCATTACCACTGAGATTTAAAGATATAATTTGAAGCAAATCCCAAGGTCTCTTCTAAAAAACAGGATAAGTAGAGATTGTTCCCCCGGTCTGTCTCATAATTCAGTTCAAAATAGTGATGAAAAGCACTACTGTTGCTAAGCAACAACAATCATGTAATCATGAAGGAAACCTATTAATATGAAATGAATTTTCGTAATTCCTTTCTGATGTGGGAGATCCTAAATTCTTGGAAAAAGTGCATTTTATTTATGCAATTTAAATTGGCTGCTGACGTTTATTCTTTGCTTATGAAGGACAATTTTGTTTATTTTCTGTTTATTTTGCTACAATAGCACCTGCCCTCTATTGTTCATCTGGGACACTGCTTCTTGGATTACCCGCCAAAAGCACTAAGTTCCATGTGTATGGCTTCACACTAACTTTCAACTGTCTATTTCAAATTAGCAACTATAAAAGCCAAGGCTTAACATTTTATTCCAAAAACTTACATTGATATAGCACTTCAACATGATAAAATGTTCCAAAGTGTTTTACAGGAGAGTAATTGGGCAAAAGGTTACATTGAGCCAAGAGAGTTACTATTTGGACAGGTTCCACGACACCAGGTTACTGGTTCAACAGGTTTACTTGAAATCACACAAGCTTTCGGAGCCCAGCCCTTTCGTCAGGTGCAGTGAGAGAGCAGAGCACACCGACCCAGAGTTTATAGGCAGGGAGATCAACAGATCATACAACTGGTAGAAGTGGAGTGTCAGATGATCAGTCTCTGCAGGTGACCAAGAGTGTTAGACCGTGTGAGTCAAGTGTCAACAGCTGAATAACCAGCGAAGGGATGACCTACTTTCCAATTAAATGAGGCAGTTGGATAATTACAAAAATTTAAAAATAAAGTGGTGCTGGAGACAAACTACGTGACTGGAATTGCATGCTGAATTCAAAACTGTACAAACTAATAAAGGTAGAGAGATCATAACAATGTATCAAGGTGATGCTGTCAAAACAGGACGGTAAGGAAGATTTTACAGATACAGAACAATGTGGTGGGGTCACCTGTAGCGTGTAATGAATCCAAGATGATGGTTGAGGCCACCTTCATGGGTACGGAACTTGGCTATCTGCACGGCAATTCTGTGTTGTTGTGCGCCTCAAAGTCCACCTCGGAGGATGCTTACCTGAAGATCGGAGGCTGAATGTCCTTGACTGCTCAAGTGTTCCCTGACTGGGAGGGAATATTCCTGTCTGGCGATTTGTTGTGCGGTGTCCATTCATCTGTTGTCGTAGTGTCTGCATGGTCTCACCAATATACCATGCCTCGGCATCCTTGCCTGCAGCGTACAAGATAGACAACATTGGCCTCGTCACTTAAGTATCTGTCATGTACGTGCTGGGTGGTGTTCCCATGTGTGATAGTAGTAACTATGTCGATGATCTGACCTGTCTGGCAGAGGTTGCCATGGCAGGGTTGTGTGGTAATATGGTCAATGTTGTCCTGAAGGCTGGGTAGTTTGCTGTGAACAATGGTCTGTTTAAGCTTTGGTGGTTGTTTGAAGGTGAGAAGTGGAGGTGTAGGGAAGATCTTGGTGAGATGCTCATTGTCGTTAATGACATGTTGAAGGCTGTGAAGAACACGGTGTAGGTTATTCGCTCTGGGGAAGTACTGGACGACAAAGGGTACTCTATCGGTCATATCCACTGTCTGCTTTCTGAGGAGGTCGTTGCAGTTTCTCGCTGTGGCATGTTGGAATTGGTGATCGATGAGTTGAACACCGTATCCCATTCTTATGAGGGCGTCCTTCAAAACCTTCAGGTGCTCGTCACGTTCCTCCTCATCTGAGCAGATCCTGTGTACGCGCAGGGCTTGTCTATAGGGTATGGCTTTTTTAATATGTTTAGGGTGAAATTTAGAGAAGTGCAGCATCATGAGGTTATCCATGGGCTTGTGATGGAGTGAGGTACTGAGGTGTCCGTCCTTGATAGAGATGCATGTGTCCAAGGATGAGACTGATTCCAAAGAGTAGGCCATGGTGAGTCTGATGGTGGGATGAAACTTGTTGATATGTAGTTATTTCAGTGATTCTTTGCTGTGAGTCCAAAGGAAGAAAATGTTGTCAGTGTATCTGGTGCATAGCGTTGGTCGGAGGTCCTGTGCAGCAAAGATGTCTTGCTTGAACTTGTGCATAAAAATGTTGGCATATCTGTGCTGCAGATTTGGTCCCCATGGCTGTTCTGTGCAACTAGAAGAAGAACTGGTTGTTGAAGGTGAAGATGTTGTGCTCCAGGATGAAGCAGATGAGTTGTAGGACAGCATCTGGAAATTGGCAGTTGTTGGCATTGAGTACTGAGGCTGTTACAGTGATTCCATTGTCATGGGGAACACTGGTGTAGAGTGCTAAAACATCCGTTGTGCCGAGGAATGTTCCCGGTTCGACTGGTCCGTGGGTGCTGAGTTACTGTGAGGAATCTGTGGTGTTGCGATGGGCTTCAAGATGCCCTCGATATAGCCAGAGAGCTTCTCATACAGGGTCCCTTTGCCTGATACGATGGGACGTCTAGGTCTGTTGGCTTTGTGTATCCTTGGATGGTAGTGGAAATCTCCTAAGCGATGAGTGTCTGGGATGAGAGTGCATAGGATGCTCTGAAGGCTTGGATCAAAAGTCTTGATCAATCTGTTGAGTTGACCGATGTGTTCTTTGGTCGGATCAGCAGGTAGTTGCCTCTAGTGTTCCTGGTTGTATGCTTCTTTGCAGTAGTCCATTCTATTCTGTATGACGATGGCTCCTTCTTTGTCTGCTGGTTTGATGACTATGTTGTGATTCATCTTGTGAGCATGGATAGAGTTGCGTTGTGTTTAGGTGATGTTCTACACTACTTTGTGAGTGCAACTGATGAATCTCGTGTTAATGCATCTCCTTACAGCTTGAGCATACATGTCGAGCCTAGGGCAGCGGCCTTCTGGAGGGGTCCAATTCGACTCCTTATTCTTTGGTTGCTGCACCACGGATCTCTCTCTTGTTGACTGCCTCGATTCATTGGTTGTCTCATTGGGCTCGCTGCTGAGATCTTGGGGTTTGCGGAAGAATTCCCGGAGTCTCATTCACTTGATGAGTTCCTCTGTGTCTGCCACAAGACTAATGGGGTCCATTTTGTTGGTGGGGCAGAAATTGAGTTCTTGGCTGAGAACTTCGATTTCATCCAGTGGAAGGGTGTGGTCAGATAAGCTGATGATAGATTTCCCTTTGCTGGTACTGTTTTCAGCTGTGGTGCCGGGGAGGCTTGGTTACTGCTGGTGGGGATGCCAAGTTTCTCCAGTTTCTTGTTCTTGGTGGGCATATAGGTGGTGTAGTTCCGTTGCCTCATCTGCTTGGCAGTGCCTTGCAACTGTTCTGATGTAGCTTGAGCACAAGCTGAGAATACAGACTCTGTCTCAATTTCAAGGTTGCAGCGTGTGCTGTAGAGTTGGTGTTCGAGATGATTGAGGAGTGCGCGAGAGGTGCGACGGCAGTGTCTCTTGTAGTCTGTGTTGTAGGCCGACCTGAGTGGGTTCATGATTTGTGTTCTCTTGGGATCTTCACTGCTTTCTTGCATTTCTACAGAAACGTGATCTCTGTGTCGATAGTGTGATCTTCTTGGAGATCCTCTCCACTTTGAGCCGGTAGTTTGTTGTGTCTGGTAGCCATGATGTGGAGGTGCCAGTGTTGGACTGGGGTGGACAAA